AGGGTGCAGGAGAGCAGTGTGGTTCCCCAGGAGCCTGCCTGGCTCCCCGTGTGCCCCCAGTACACGGTCCCTGCCATCACCCTGAGGGCAAGCAGGGGGACACCAAAAGCCATTCTGAGCCAGGGAGGAATCAAACCGCACTAGAACATGCCGGTGGCTCAACATCACACGAGTCCCCAAGGTGAGAGTCACTGTCTCACTCAAACCGTGGGTACAGTAACCCCTCCCCATGGGTCCCTACATGCGGCCCACAGGGTGCCCTGGTCTTTCTGATAGCCAGGCACCCTGTAATATGAAGCAAAACGAAGCCCTGACCCCCACAGCCGGCACAGTCCCAGGAGATGTGCTCCGCCAGAGGTTATCCTCCTGGCTGGTGAGTGCAAAACACCACCACCACGGCTGAGAGCTGAGTTTTGCTTTGAGTTGCGGATTAGCTCAGGAACTCACAGGGTGAGTTTTGCCTGTTTTTCAAGGGGGGGAACTCTGAAAGCGACTGAGCTTTGCCTCACGTGGGCATCCAAATGTCACTACTGCCAGCGGCTGCTGCTAAAAACGAGAGGGGTTAGAGTTCTGTTTTCAGAAAGTAGTGACTTTGCTGGGGTTTCAGGCCTCCTCAAAGGAGATCAGGCATATGTGGATGTCTCAGATGGATGCCGTTTGGGCACTGATGACATTCACATGGGCCAGGGGTTGCTTCCATGGCTCTTCTCACATCCCTGGCCGTATGCTAGTTCAGTCCCACTCACTCTTTACCCAGATTTTTCTAGTGAAAAAGCTATTTCAGACCTGGGATACTACTCGTGCTGTCTGGAGAAGAAATAATCTGACCTCCAGAATCCCCAAAATAAAAAGAGGAGTGAAAATGTCACATGCTCACATTTTATCATCTGTACTCCCCCCTGGCTTGCAATAGCAAAAACCCCATGAGGAAGTTCTCCTCCCAAGCAAGGGCAGGCTCTTGCCCCATGAAGCATCGCTAAACTCTTTGATACCTCTTTGGTTGGAAGAGAAACAAGAAGGGCGAGATGAGTAAGAGGAGCTCATCCTTTGGGAGTTCGGGCCCCACTCCTTCCACCTTTTGGAGGGTTGCGCAGCAGGATTAATATGGCGAACCCCAAACAGTTCAGGTGTTCAGATAATCTTCGGACTGGCTAGGAATTACATTTATGGGAGATGCTCCCCATAGCTGTTTTATTTATTTGCCGGGAGTTCACAACCGAAACCAGTACTAATGCATCAATATATATTTTCCTTAAGCCTGCTGCCTAGGGAAAAAAAGCCTGCATGCTAAATTACATCCACGGCACATCCCAGGCTCATAATCACTGACCCTGTCTCTCCACAGGCAAACTGCACGTCCCCGAGCACACAGCCAAGCGGACCCACGCCACGCACGGCACCCAGACCCCCAAACCTCCTCCCCACCGAGGCACTGGGGACCAGCCCAGGCTTCCCCACCAGCTGTGCCTCCTATTTACACTGGGCAGGACCCTGCCCTTTACCCCCTCCCCGCCAGCCCATGCGGCGAGGCTGGCCCGACACTGGAAACTCTGCGTGACTTGGCGGGAGCCGCCGGAGGCCCCTGGGACAGGCTCCCTTCCCCTGCCACGTTACCAGTGCCATCCCCCTCCCCACGGCCACGTGCAGCCTTTCCCTCCCGTGGGGGAGAAGTTGGGGAGCAGCAGGCAGGAAAGGGGTTAAATAGCGGTGGTTCTTCAATTCAGCCCAGCGAGGCAGCTCAAAATACAGCCATTTCTCTCCTCGCACTATTACCGACCCGACCAGCCCGGCTAAAAGTTGAGAGTTATGCTCTCACTTCTAAAACCTGAGTGTTACGGTTTGGTGGGGAAAGAGGGAAGGCAGCGTAAGTCATCAACATTTTTTTTCAGCATCACCAGGCAGGCGAGTTGACTGCAAAGCACAAGCTAATACATACATCTAGTGAACAGCAACCCTGTATTTTATTTAAGGTCTGTTGGGTATTTCAGGGAAGAAGATGAAAGATCGTGTTATTCTGCAGGAGCAGTTTCCTTGGGAAAGTATACCCAGACATTTAATCCCAGGAATATTTATAGTTAGCATAACTCAAATGGTGGTGTGCATGCAGTTGGTTAGTCTAAAGTGGAGCGTCATGCAGCTTGCATTAATGTCGGCAAAGGCACTTTATGGAGAAACAGACTTTATGCTTACTATTATCCCAGCCCAATATGGAGTGTCTCTGACTAGCAGAGAAGAACTGATGCCTGCCATAAGGAAGCCCAGCACTGTAACAGAGATGCCTAACGCCAGCTGCAATAAAGCAAACAGCAGCGGGAAACGGCAGGCCCAACAAGGGGGGGGTTCCTCCTCCTGGCCAGTTTTGGGATCCCCCTTGGTGGTTTTCTTCTGCTTCTTCTTCTTCTTCATCGCGGACTCCTGCGTCTTGCTCGAGTCGGTGCTTTTCTCCCCTTCGGGTGCCTTCCCTGTCTGGCTCTGGTTATTCAGGGACGTGCTGTGCTGGAGTTTCTTCTCCTCCTCCTTTCCCATCCTGATGAACTTTAGGTTTTCACGTGTGTGTGTGTGTGTGCGCGCGCTGATGGGGGGGTGTGAGGTTTTTTTGCCCCCCAAAGCTTCGCTTTGTGCTGGCTGAGTTGTTCCTGGTATTTGAATCAAGGAGGCTGAACAAATATGGAAAACATTTGGAGCAGATTGTCAGAGCTTCGAAATGCCACATATAGCCCAGAGAAGAGGGGGTTTCAAGGGAGGTAGCGAACGGCCAACGTGCAGGCACCGGCTCTGCACGGGGGCTGGCTGCGCGCACACGGCGGAGCATGCGTGCTGCCTGGGCTACATAGGTGTGAGCACACACATGCCCGCGTGTTTGTGGAGGAGCTGGACAGGCAAACAGCAGGCAGAAAGTCTGCCTTGCCGGCGGATGAACGGGAGGGAAGTCTGTCTCGCTGGGGAGCGATCAAGTGCCGGTGTCTGTGTGTGCGCTGAGCAGGCAGGTAGGAGCTCATCACGCCGTGGCTCCCCTGGGGATTACTGGCACGCAGAGCCTAACTCGGTGAACCCACGCAGCACCATGCACACAACGGGCACGTTTCATACGCTGGCTGAATCAGATTAAATAGGTGTGTTGCAGTGGGAGGGAGTCAGCTATGTGTATGGAAAGTGTGAGATTAACACAAATAAAAATTCAAATGAATATCCTGGGGAGCCAAAAGGAATCCTGTCTCTTCCCAAAAGTTGCAAAAGCACAGCTAGGCATGTTTTATGATGAGGCAGACAGGGACCAGAAATGAGAACTGGTGCTTCTGTGCAGGTACTGGTAGCGCACGGAGCTGAACATCTGCTGAGTGGGTTTCCAGGGCTGCAAGTTATCCATACCAGGAAGATTGTTTATCTCACCTAAAAGAGAGAGGGATATCTTACTGTGGATGTGTGGTCACTGCACTTTATCCATATGTTGGCTCACACTGGTGCTCGAGGGCAGCACACCAACAGAAGCAGTTTTATTTTTTCTTGGAATACTCTAAAATCGTTCTGCAGCTGAATCCAGTGCTGGGAGCCCTGGCAGAGCCTCTCAGACACTGGCGGGGCTCCCTGGGGGCTCACCCACGGATGTGCCATCAGGACTGGGGGTCTGCAGAGTTAGACAGTGAATACTCGGTCTGTGAAGAGGAGGGAACAAGAAGAGGTGGGTGGTGCACCAGAGGCGATGCCAGCAGCCCCACGCTCGGGTGGGGC